ATAGGCTAAAAATCAGATCACTTGAATCATGGCCTGAAGATAAGAGTCGAAACATGAAATTTAAGAGTCCTACACTTAGTAAATAAAAGAAAAAGGTGTTATTTGCACTTCTTTCTTTCTCTAACTCCTTGGATCTTTTCATGTACTGTAATTTGGAAGAAGTCTAAGCATGTTTTTTTTTTTTTTTAATAATACAACTGTAGTAAAAGGAAATAAGTTAAAAGAATTCTACCTAACTGCAAATCAAATAAATGTCAGAGCCAAACCACAGAACCTTCCCCTTTCCTTCCTGCTCATTATCTAAACAAATAGCTACCTTTCCGTACTTTCACTGTGGAAAATAAACCTGGGCCTCACATTCAGGCTGAATGAGATAATTCTGTTGTTCAAAGTATTTCTCTAAGAGAAATTGTAATTAGATCCATAAAACATTGTTATTTGGGTCCACACGTTTTCATTCTATTCACAAGATCAATCCCAAGTAAATGCATACTGTATCATTAATAACCTCTCTCAAACATACTTTTAATTATGATTTCCATTGCTATATCCTACACTCTCACATGTTTTGACAGTTTTTTATATTTACCAATCTTTACATTTAAAAAGAAAATGATTTTGTTGCTGTTTGTTTTGAAGTGCCCCTTGTCAAAATTCCAACCATTTATAAGATTTAATGCTCTTAAGAATTAATTTAAATTCCAGTAAGAAATTCAAGTTCCTAAAACCAAAGCCAATATCTTAGTCATCATATATTTTCGTCATGCATACAGAAAGCATTCAATAAAATAAATATATGTTCAGTTAACAACCTCTTCTGATCTTTACGTCTATGCATATGTAGTTCTCTTGGTTATAATGATCACATACAAACCAAAATAAGTCTTACTTTCTTTTATGTCAACTTTTCCATGAGTGCACAAAGTTCACACACCTGTCATTTTAATAGCATTACCATATATTGCTCTCTAAGCTGGCATGAGAGCAGTAGGCCAAGCGTGTATTCAGAACAGGATTCTGCTATCAATGAGGGCAGACTCTTGAGGGGTCCATTTGCCTGAGAGTTCTAATGAGCTACTAAAGGGAAGGGATGGGGGAAAATCAAAATAAAGTGACTTAAATCATGAAAAATCTCATTCAGAGAAAATGTGTCAAAGGGAGTTCTTCATAATTGGGCATGGGTTTTGAATACATTATAACATGTTAGTCTGTGATACCATTTTCTTGACTTATCATAAGCTTTAGTGCCCTAATTCTTATCTAAATTAAAATCTAACACAACTGCATAGTTTAAAACTGACCAAAATAAGTTAATTCCTCAGGTTCACTCATGACTCACGCAGTGTCCCATATATAATCACCCTGGGAAAATGATCTGACTAAAACAGATTATTTTCTATCACAAAATGGAAAATATTTTGATAGAAAACATGATATTGGTGGAAAATAATCTCTCAATACACAAACAACATGGTGCAATTCAACCTTGGTTGGATCCATATTGGACCCATTCAAAGGTAATAGGGGATTAGTTGATATGACACCAGGAGGGCTAGATTCATTTATGAGGTAGTCTCATCAGACTGACTCAAACACTGGCATCACTCCAAGGCTCTAGGTTATACACATACAGAAGGAGGTATCAAAGAGAAAAAAGCAGTATCATGAGGTTATCTATGTCATATGTTTGAGTTTGTGGATGGTATCCAAAAAAGCTCCTAGTTACCCAGATCTCCCATCTGTTGAGGGAGTTTATAATAAACCAAGATTTTTAATAAACAGCAAATGTAAAATCAAATTTGATAAGGTAAAATTTAAAAGTGCTAACTGTCCTAGAACCCAGCAACTTGTTGTGTACATATTTTCTTTTTTAATCAGAAAAGATTTGGCAACATCCTATTCAAAACATTTTCAGTATTTTGAAACCATCTTTAAATTTGAAAGATTACATATTCCTATATAACTAAGACAAATACATCAAATTCAAATAATTTGTCAGCATCTAAAATTTTGATTAAAATGAACCTATATTCTTACTATATACTTCATTTTATAATAATTCAACATGAATAAGCTTTCAAACTCACTTTCTTTATAATGCCAGTGTTTTAAAAAAGAAAATTTTCTAAGACTGTGCATCATATTTCCCTTCAGGGAAAAATCAAAATCATACCAGATTCCCTTTGTTATGTTTCACAGTGATACAGAGTTACCTCTGTCAGCCTGTTTCTGTTGTTGCTGCTGTTTTAAATATTGTAAATCAGCATTTTGGAAATTATACTGCATATCCTCATTGATACAATGTTATAAATTGTAGTAAAAATCCTACCAAAGCCTCCTGAACTAATGTGTGGGCTGTACTTACTGAGTCTTCAATTTTCTTTTTCATTAGCAGAAGATGTTTCAGTGTATGTTTTAAACATCCTGTATTGCAAAAACTTAAGTCAGCTGATTTTGGAAGAACATTCCCCTGGGGAAACACAAGTTGACTCACTACACTCCTTGCCAAAGCCTCCTAACTGGTCTACCAGTCACTCCTTCCCAGATTATATCCTCCACTGTGTTGTCAGTTTTTAATCAAAAATCTGATTGTCACACTCCTAATTAAAAACTTTCATTAACAAAGAACTTCCTACAGGGTAAAGTCTGAACCCCTTAGCTCAGCAAAGAGGGCTCCCCTCCACTGGTACCAACCTACCTTAGTTTTACCCTGAATCTTTCCCTTTCATATAGACTACCTAAAGTCATATTGAAATTATCATCATTTTCCTCTATCCCCCACCCTCATACTTTTGAAAAAAAAAAAAAAAAAATCTGCTTAGGATGTACTCCTACCCTTTCACTTGAAAAATCTACCCATTTAGCTCAATTCAAATATCACTCTCTCCATAAAACCTCCAACATCCCTCAAATACACTTAGCACACTTGGTCACCCTTTACCCTCTGCACAAGAATTAAGGGTGGTATTTATGGAAGTTCAATAAATGTTGACTAAATTTTGGGAGTATATCTATGCTTCAGTGAGAGGCTGGTCATAAGACATTGATAAAGAGTTAAGTATATTCCATTCATTTAAGTGTGGGTATGTAATAAATGTACACATGAACCAAAAATATCATCTGATTTATATTTACAAACACAAAATCAGGGATCACTAAACCTCGAGAGGTATAATCTGCTTCACCTTAAATATTGATAGATAATTGCCACCTACACCACCACTGGGAGTAGTCTTTTTTAATCAGAAATGATTTGGCAACATCCTATTCAAAACATTTTCAGTATTTTGAGCTTCAAGATTTCCATGCTTGAGCAAAACGACATAATTTAAAAAGAAAAAACCAAAGATAAGAAAACATGCAATTAGCGTGCTGAAGGTCCGCAGTCTTGCATTGAAATCTTCCATCATTAATTACCTATGAACAACTCTCAAGGCAACAATTTTGAAAAACTCCCATTCTCCATTATATATCCAATCGCAGATAGAGAAAATACAGCCAGCAAACAATTTATACAAAAGCCAAAATCAATAAAATGTTTCCAAAAAGAAACTAGAGTGTTTGATTTGTTTTTCACTATGCTTGGGCTTTTCCAATATAAATATTTTACACATTCACGAGAAGCTTCACAATTCAAAAATGATTTCACATAAATGATTTAATTCGTAAGGATAATCCTGTGAGTTAAACACAGCAGGAGTTATTTGCCCATATTTAAGACAAGGCAAACCTAGTATGAACACAGATAAAAGACTATAGCTATAGAAATGCAGCACTTCTTTTCAAAAAAAAAAAAAAAAAAGTATTACTTCAAAAGCAAAAATGGCCCAAGAAAAATGAGCCCCCTTTCCTTTATTCCATCACTACCTCTAGGTCTGTGGATCTACACGGATGACTCTGCTAAAGAAACAAACGCCAAAAAGCTTAAAGTATGATAACCTGAAGCAAAAGTTCCACCTTCAACTCTATGACATCAACTCTACAAGCAAGAGCAAGCAAGCTCCATTCCTCAAACCATATTAAACGTGAACACACCCTCGGCACGCACCCAGTCTCCAGGGTTCTCGGCGGACTTCCCCGAGGTCAGCCCCTGATCCAGAGCAGTCTGGAGAGTGCCTGGGAGACCCGGCTTTGCTCGAGATGGGGGTGGGGTACGGCGCAAAAGGCTCTTCCAAGTAGGATACGGAGAAAAGTGGAACCGGACATCAGACCAATACCTGGAAGAGTTTGGGACGCGAGACCCCGAGCTTGGGTCTGGCAGGGTCTTCACACGTGCAGCCGCCGCGCCTCCCGACCCCGAATCCAGTCCCGGCCCAGGTCCCTCCACTCCCGGGCACCACGGGTTAACTCCGAGCGTTCCAGCCCTGGGAAACAGCAATCCCAAAGGAGCTTGGAGGCGGACACCCACCTGGCCGCTCCCCACCGAAAACTGGGCCCACTAGGCCAAACAACAGCAACCACTGGAAACGGAGGGTCCCAGAGGGCGAGCCCGCGCCCGAACCCATCTCGAAAGAATCTGCAGGTTCCACTCAACACTCGGTCGCCTCTGCCTCCGCCTCTTCCATCATTTTGCAACCCTGCCGGGGCCCCAGGGTTGGCCAGGGTACGCGCGCCCAGGGACGTGCACGCGCGCGGCACTGACGCAACTCAGCCCCTGGTCCGAGCTCGCTCCCGACATCGCTCTCGCAGCGCTGACGTAGGGAAAAATGTAGTCCCTGGCGGGAGAATGAGATTTCTAAACTGGCCGCTGAAATCCTCAGTAGTCGGCCCAGCCCGGTTACTATCTGCCCCGCCCTCCCTGCCCGAGCACGCCTACTTTTGAGGTCAAGGGAACCGATTGGACGAAGCAGCCGGAACGAAAGGAGGAGGAGCGTGAGACCCACAAGAGGAATTGGAAAGCTGATGCGAAGCCCCACCCCAATCAGTCTCTTCTGATTGGTTAAAGGTGTGGGTGGAGCATCGAGCTGCGCGCCCATTGGCCGTTTGGCGGCAAGGCAGGAGGTTACGCGGAGACGCCTGACAAGACCGGGCTTGGGTCGGCGGTGCCGGCCTGGGTTTTGTGGTTGAGACCGTGTCTCCACCACTGAGCCCAGGAAGATGGTGCTGGGTGGCTGCCCGGTGAGCTACTTACTTCTGTGCGGCCAGGCAGCTTTGCTGCTGGGGAATCTACTTCTGCTGCACTGTGTTTCTCGGAGCCACTCGTACAATGCTACCGCCGAGCTCGAGCTCACGTCCGCTAGTGCCACCCACCCAGAGGGCTCTGCGGGTGCTCCAACCTGGGAATATGGCGACCCCCACTCTCCAGTCATCCTTTGCTCTTACTTGTAAGCTACCCAGTCGTCTAGGCGGGTGGAGGTGGAGACTGGGCCAGGGATATGTGGGAAGGTAGAGGGAAGGGAAAGGCTGCCTTTTTTGTTAGACCCTCTCCGGCTGAAGACCCGATAGTAGTGATAGGTAATTATCAAGGTAGGTTCCTCACTCATCTCACTCGTGCAGAGAAAAACCTTGTGTATTGGAGATAGATCCTTTAAGATCCCGAAAGAGCAGTACTAAGAAGGAGTGACATAGCCTCTAGCATAAGTATTCCAGGCTGTGCCTTCTCCCTCCTACACCCTTTAGCCAAGGAAGAATCCACTAGTACTGAATGAGGTACAAATGAAATAAATGACACTTAAAAATAAGGCACAAGGCACTTAAAAATAAAAATATAAAGAATATCCTTACCATTTGCAGAACCAAGCCATTTTTAATATTTCTTTTTAAGCAAGTAAGACGTTTGGGAAATGCAAAGAGACCTGAGCATCTTTTGTCTTATTATTTGCCCCAGTGCGTTATGGTTGTTTGCCTAAGGAAGAGATGAAGCCATGGCAGAAGTAGAATCCATGTAAAAACAGGACCAGAAGCACCTCCCCAATAAAAGGGTCATTTGAGTAGCTGTCAAGTTTGACCTGCTGTGCTTCTGTTTAATTGACACCACCATTTGGCTTGGAAAAGTTATCTACAAAGTGTGAGCCCCCGAAAAAACTTAACAAATAAATGTTTGATGTTTATTTTGATTATATTCATCTAAACAGCAACTTGCAAAAGGAATGATTATGATCATGATCTTACTGGTGATTTGCAGACCTGATGAATTTATAGAATGTGAAGACCCAGTGGATCATGTTGGAAATACAACTGCATCCCAGGAACTTGGTTATGGTTGTCTAAAGGTGACTTTTTGTTTTGTTGTATTAGCAAATGCTTCCCTATAGAAAAAGTACTAACTAAATATTGTTACAGAAAAATATAAGGATATATGAAGTTACATTTTTATAGAAGTTCATCCAAATGGCTGTTACTGGAAATTTCCAGCAAGGCTAAGGTCAGTGACTGAACATGACATTTGGTTTCTTCAGGAGGGAACAGTTTCAGTACCTAAAGCATCCAGGTGCAAAGACCTGTCTGGTTCCTTTGGCCATTGACCATTAAGACTGACAGATTTGAAGCTTAAATGTCACCTACCCTTCAAGGCAGGCCCTCTCCTGAAAGAGAAGGAAAAAAAAAAAAAAGGCTTTGCACTTTCTAAAACCAAAGATGAATTGGGCAGTTTCTGTTTCACACACATTTGGGGTAAACCACTTGCCAGTAATCTTCCTTTTCACCAGGTAAGCAGGTTCTACCATGTCCTTAGGAAATAGATAGGGTTTATCAGTTTGTTTTCATAGGTAGTAAAAATTATTTCATGGGGAAGCTGAGTGCAATAGCACGTGTAATCCCACCGACTGGGTAGGCTGAGGCAGGAAGATTACAGATTCAAGGCCAGTCTCAACAATTTAGCAAAGCCCTAAGCAATTTAGCAAGACCCTGTCTCAAAATAGGACTGGGGATATAGCCCAGTGATAAAGCACCCTTGGGTTCAGTCTCCAGTACCAAAAAAAAATGAAAAGTATTCTAGGGGAAGTCTTTGGTAACAATAGCCGCTTAGAATGGAAAGAGTCAATCAAATCCATTAATAATATCCCTAAAGCCGGGTGTATGTACATTTCCTAGTCAGTCTCTCAAAAAGTTCATGTATCTTTTCCACACCATGGAATCAACATTATATTATGCAAGATTTTAAAAGATGTTAAGAGGATTATTATAGCACAAAAAGAAAAAGAACAAAAAAACTTTTTGTGCTAAATCAAACACAAAGGAATAAACTTGACAAGAATAAGACCAGAAAGGCAAGCATCCTCTTTTCCAGTATTTTCTCTTTGAGGAACACTCCAATAAAAATAGTATACAGCACTAATAATGTTCCAGTAAAAAATGTACAGGTATGCTTTCTCTGCTGGCTTTTAGTTAAAGAGGCCCCATTCCAAAATTTTTTACTAGAATTTGGACTGCAGAAACCTGATAATCACCCATTCGTGACCTAAATAAAGTCCTAAGTCAAATGATATTCTGAGTTATTTTATTTTATAATTCTGTTAATTTACAGTAGATATAAAAGAAACCTCTAATACACATGATTTTTAATACCTATTCTCCAATGCTCCAATTTGTACTTTTTCCTGTAAGTATTGTGTTCATTTCTCCTAAATGACAATTAAATTGATTGTAATTTTTTACTACATTATTGAAACCAATCATGAAAGGAAAAAAAGGTTTATTTGAACAATGTATATTTAGGATGGACTAATCTATCATTTTAAATATGTTTACATGCTTTTAAGTATGGAATTCAGCTTTACCCCAACTTTGTTAGAATAATTATAGTACTGAGGCAGTTTTTATTGATGGGAAAAAAAAAGGATATATTTTTCTATTACTTGTTTTGGTGAGTTTGTTTTTTTCTTTTGGCTTTGGCTGCTATTCCATAGTTTGGAGGTCAGGCATACAGTGATGTGGAGCATACTTCAGTCCAGTGCCGGGCCCTAGATGGAATTGAGTGTGCCAGTCCTAGGACCTTCCTGCGGGACAATAAGCCTTGTATAAAGTAAGTATTTGTTTTCTTTTCTTTTGCGGTGCTGGGGATTAAACCCAAGCATGCTAAGTATGTCCTCTTCAACTGAGCTACACCCCAGCACAAAGTGTTATTTTGAATGGGGTAGTTGGTTCCAAGATGTAGGCTCTCTATTCATCTCACAGATTATTTCTTTTGCTGAGAAGAAACCTTTTAGTTTGAGTCCATCCCATTTAATTCTTGATTTTAATTCTTGCGCCAAAGGAGTCTTATTAAGGAAGTTGGAGCCTAATCCCACGTGATGGAGATTAGGGTCTACTTTTTCCTTCTATTAGACGCAGGGTCTCTGGTTTTAGTCCTAAGTCCTTGATCGATTTTGAGTTGAGTTTTATGCGTGGTGAGAGATAGGGGTTTAATTTCATTTTGTTGCTTATGGATTTCCAGTTTTCCCAGCACCATTTGTTGAAGAGGCTATCTTTTCTCCAATGCATATTTTTGGCACCTTTGTCTAGTATAAGATAATTGTAATTTTGTGGGTTAGTCTCTGTGTCTCTATTCTGTAACATTGGTCTATCAGTCTGTTTTGGTGCCAATACCATGCTGTTTTTGTTACTATTGCTCTGTAGTGTAGTTTAAGGTCTGGTATAGTGATGCCTCCTGCTTCACTCACCATTTGACCCAGCTATCCCTCTCCTCGGTCTATACCCAGAGGACTTAAAAACAGCATACTACAGGGACACAGCCACATCGATGTTTATAGGAGCACAATTCACAATAGCTAAACTGTGGAACTAACCTAGATGCCCTTCAATAGATGAATGGATAAAAAAAGAAAATGTGGCATATATACACAATGAAATATTACTCAGCAATAAAAGAGAATAAAATCATGGCATTTGCAGGTAAATGGATGGGGTTAGAGAAGATAATGCTCAGTGAAGTTAGCCAATCCCAAAAAAACAAATACCGAATGTTTTCTTTGATATAAGGAGGCTGATTCATATTAGGATAGGGAGAGGGAGTATGGGAGGAATAGACGAACTCTAGATAGGGCAGAGGGGTTGGAGGGGAAGGAAGGGGGCATGGGGTTATAAATGATGGTGAAATGTGATGATCGTTATTAACCAAAGTACATGTATGAAGACACGAATTGGTGTGAATATACATTGTATACAACCAGAGATATGAAAAATTATGCTCTATATATGTAATAAGAATTGTAATGCATTCTTCTGTCATGTAAATAAAAAAATTTTCACTATTAAATTATTCTTCCACAGAAAAATAATTTACAGATGTGCTTGCTGTTTGCAATATCTGTGTTTTAAGAAATTGTGTTGTTTTGATTTCTCTTATTTTTGTAAAAATTTCCACATACATTTGATAACTAAAATATTTTATATGTATATCTTTCTTTCTTGAAATCCTAGTAAAATTACAAGTTTATAACAAAGTCTGTAAAACATTTTAAAAGTATATAGAAAATTAGACAAGAGAAACCTCAAACAAGAGTTGTAAACAAAAATTTTGAATAAACAGGTAGATGTAATAACTGATTTAGCAGACTAGAAAATCATAAAACATAATTGCTCCTTGAGGGAAGAGACAAAAGACATATGATTCACTTTGTAAAACTGTCAGAAATTGAGGTACCAGATACATTTGAAGTTGAATGTTTCATTATGGGTTTGAAAATTAAATGGGTTTTCTAGAATTCACAAAATGAACAGTAAAAGATGCCCCCACCCCGCCCCCCGCCAAAAAAAAAGAATGAAGTAGTTGGTACTTGGTTGGATGGAAGGAGAATTATATTTTTATTGTCATTTTTTGGTCTGACTTTTTCTTCCAAGTTTTAAATAGGGAATCCTATTACTCTGTGACAGAAGCATTTTGCTTATAGTAGGGGACACTGGAATTGAGACAAGAAGTTGTAAGTTCTAAATATCTCTTTCACTAAACAGCTGAGTGCCTCTGAGCACTCAAGAGTCTATTCCCTCATCCTCTGAATGAAGAATTTGAACCACCTGATCTAGCTTCAGAACTCATGATAAGCTTAAATCCTGTGAAAATCCTTAGTATTTCATGGAATAAAGGGTTTTTTATAAAAAAGTGGGGATTGGGAGTCCTCTCTCTAAATATCAATTGATCTTAAGTTAAAGGATTGGGTCTTTTCTGTAAATTCTGCTTGAAGGCACAGAATTTACTTACACCACTAGCTAATGCAAAGAGTCTGTGGCTGTGTTTATGTTAATATTAGCAACTTTGGTTAAATGTCTTCACAGTACATAAGGACAGAAGCCTACAGAAGTCTTCACTTTTAGCTGACAAAAAAGCAGGAAAGGTTTATGGAGACAAGGAAGGACAGTGCTCCCTTAGCAAAGGACACTCAAAGGAAGCCAACTGAGCCTAAGGAAAGGAGCCAGTTGAGGGGAGGTTGGGACCCCAAAATCAGTACTACCAATCACATCTATTATGCAAATGTGTTTAAAAATCCTACTCTGCAAAAGTTAACATTTGTTCTTAGAGGTGCTCTGTATCTGAGCAAGTACTTGAGTTTTGGTAGGGGGAGATAAGAGAATTGTAAGACATTTTTTACTGAATTTTTTATTCATTAGGATGTTTTTGACTTCTTTAAAAAAAAAAAAAAAATCTTGTTGGAAGAGACTGCTCCTCCCAAGGCTAGTATATTAGAAATAGAAATGGGCCACAAAAGGAACATGTCCTTGATATACAAACTAACCAATCTACAGCCATACTCCTGTATCTGGCCTGAACACCCTGAAGAGGCAGTATTTATTCCCTGCCTTTAATCTTTCCGGGGCCAGGTATCAGGCCATGAAGGACCATCCTATAGCCTGGAGTACACTAAAATTGTTCAAACTAGCCCATCCTAAACTGCCTATCTTACCCTGCCTTGGCATTCCTGCACAAACTCCAAAAAAAGAGGCCTTAACCTAGCGCTAACTCCTGTCTTCTGACAGTCCTGGGGTCCCTCCCATGTGTCCCTGCATAGTGGGCCATTGCCTCCTATCTCTAGGACCTATGAGAATCATAGCTGTTTTTTTTCTGAATCTCTTTCATGTCTCCCTTTATGGCCATACCAGCCTGACCACATCAGAAAAGAATTCAAAACAGAGGGTAAAAGACCACAGAGGGACTCTGCACCATTTTATGTTAAATTCATTAATCTTTAAGTATTTTAACTTTCACATAGTAAAACATCTTTCTTCTTATATCTTGTATCTAGGTACACTGGCCACTACTTCATAACCACTTTACTCTACTCCTTCTTCCTGGGATGTTTCGGAGTAGATCGTTTCTGTTTGGGACACACCGGCACAGCGGTTGGGAAGCTGCTGACACTTGGAGGACTTGGGATTTGGTGGTTTGTTGACCTTATTTTGCTCATCACCGGAGGGCTGATGCCAAGTGATGGCAGCAACTGGTGCACTATTTACTAAAAAGAGCTGCTATTACTGCCCAGGGAGTCAAGTGAATGCTCTGTCTTCTGAATTCATCTCTACAGGCTCAAGAATTCTTCTTTGATATAACACCTGAACATTATTTTCCCTCTTTGGAGGGAATGGGTTTGGTGAAGAAGGATTCTGTGGACTTCCAACCTTAAATCTTACCTTGCAGACTAGAAATGACAAGCAGTATTGTGGGAATCAAATTTGTACCTTTCCTCATGTACAAAATATAAAGGATAGTGTCTAACTTATGAACTACAGATGGTTTTCTCTACTCTTTATTTCTGTACGTTGCTATGTCTTCAGTTCTTTGAAGCAGGTGGACCCAAAGGGATGAGCAAAATGAATATTTTTATCTGTGTGCCTTTTGTGACCCTGAATCTTCTTGCAGAGAAGATCCAAAGCTGAGCCAATGAAAATCTTGAGGAGAAGTAGAAATGGCTATGGATCTTAATACTCAAATGAAATCCGTACTTTCTGAATTTAAAATACAGAATAAATTTTGCCAACATGGACGTGCTATATGAGTATTTTCAGTAGAGAGTGTGAAACTTAAATTTTTATTTTGCTGAAAGCTAAGCATCTGAAATTAATTAATTACCCTGTGAATAAGTCCTATTGTGTACCATTATTATGTTCTGGAAGCAGTATATGCAGTACAATAATTTCTTCATTCTAATTATGTTTTCAAAGCCAACAGTATCAGACATGTATGAGTGGAGCTCTTCTTGGCAGAATTGCCCTATGTAAAAAATTAATTTTTGTCAGTTTAAGGAAACCTTGTTGTAGACTGATAAAAAAGACTTCACATAAGTAACTATAAAATGCTTCACAGTTAGGTAAGATAAAACGAGGAGCCCCACACCCTTGAAAAGAAAAACATAATCCTACTTAAAGGATATTGAACACTGGGGTAGAATTAGGACATGATTTATGGAGACAAGGAAATCTGAACATATTCTCTCAAAATAAACATGATAGTAAAAGCTTTCACAGTAAGCTATAGCAATCAAAAAGAGATACAGTCAAGCTTTTGCATTCATAAGCCACTAGGAATAAAAGAAATGCTCTGACCTACAAATGGTTTTCAAAACTCAGTTCCCATCCTTTGCAATTTAAATAGAAAATAAAAGGAGAACTGTGTGGGCAAGTGCCTGCTCTTCAGAGTAGCTTACAAATTCTAGAAACCATCAAGATAGAACTACTCAAAGTTTACTCTCATAATAAATTGACTTTAAGACCAAGAACCACAGTTAAAATAACTTCCCTGGAAATTTCTTCATTTTGTAGCAGTTTTCCGCTTTCTTAATCCTGATTAATATGATTACTGTTCTTATATTACCAAAGGTGGCCATTGTAAAAATATTCAAACAGATTATTTTGTTGTCTAATGTTCTGTGTCACACTGCCTTAACTTTGCTTACAATAGTAATAATTTGCATACCCTCAATTCATAATCTCTGTACCCTAAGGCAGTATTTTTTTAATTGTGGATCTTGAAGAAACTGGACCCATCCTCAAAAGAACACAGATACATGTAAAATTTTGCATAAAATTTAAGGATGCCATATTCAAAATATAATTTCTGGGCTCAGGGTTTAGCTTAATTGCCTAGCATGCATGAATCCCTGGATTAAACCTTCAGCATCACACACCAAAATAAAAAAAAAAAAAAAATCATTTTCAGGGAAATCTGAAAATATTGCCCAAAAGAAGATATCACTTTAAGACTTATGTCCTACCTCATCTCACACTTTATTTTTTTTTTTTTAATATTTGCAATGCTAAGACTAGAAACCATTAATGTGGCAAGGAAGAACTTGAATAAAAAACTAAGTCTGCAAATTATTGAAGAAGCTATTTCATAAAAGAAGCTCTTCTCAGAGTCAGAAATGCTATTGGAGACCAAAGTTATTTGTACTGCTAGAGTGATAATTTGAGAGTCATTAGTAATATTCTGTGTGATGATCTGCCATAATCAGTTTCAATTTGACTTCTAAGTAATGCCCCTCCTTTATCCATAAGCCATGGCCAATAAGTGTCCCTGCACCAAGGTTTATTAGAAACTGCCTATTTTTAGTTGTTTCCTACCATTCCCACTAGCTCCCCAGATTTCCTGGCACAATAGCCACCTTCCACTTGGCTTAGGAAGCCTTTGTAGCAGAACAGCACCCCCAACCTAATGATCTCAGACTGTGTGTGTGTGTGTTTAAAGTATCCATTTTTCTTTATAAGAAAGAGATCCTAAAATCCCCTGCCATTTTTAGCACTTCTTTGGGTAATAAAATATAGGTTTTGTTAAATAATCCCTCTTTAAAGCAAGAAACTTAATTGATTATTTCAGGTGTTACTGTCAAGAATAAGGTTTGACTTCCCCGACGCACAATGATGGAAAGGGAATCATTGTCCTTAACAGCTTCTATGACATCTGCTGTGGTTGTAACAGGTTGCCCATTTATGCTGACAATTATATCATGGTCTCTCAACCCCGAGCTGGGAAAAAAGAAAGAAAGAAAGCGTGAAAATATGAGTTTTACTTGTCTCCATCTAGAATGTAATGTCTCTCTTACAGCAGTACAGTTTTGCTCACACTAAACATATAAACCAGGAAACTAGAAATAACTTAATCCTTCCAAATATGAAGGAACTTCTGTGACATGTCTTGCAAAATCACTTGGAAGACAACAATCCCATTTACCTTTAGGAAATTAATAGTCCATCAGAAACAGGGTAGTAAGTTTGCTACTCTCATATATCAAATTTGATTTGGAATGAAGAGTTTAGCTTTTAATTTCTATGCATTTCTTGACTTCTTTTCACCTCAAGCACATTCCTACTCTCACTAGCAAAAGTGCAAAGACCAGGCAACACAATTTTCACCACAGTTGTACTCCAATCAGTTCGATTTGAACAGCTCACAGTTTATGGAACTGGAGAGTATGCTGAGCTGCCTTATAGAAGTTCTGCTTCAGTAAATCAAAAGGCAGTCAAACTTCCAAGTCTAAATATTAAACTTTGGGGTCTAAGCTCCTTTTCCCCAAAGCTGTGATTGTATTCGGTTTCCAACATATATCCTTCACACAGAATATATACTAGAAATAAAGAACAGCTCCCAATACAAAACTGCAGTAAATATGTAGCCAGGCTTGTGATCTGCCTTAAAGGTTAAAATAAACTGAAAGAGGGACATCAAATGACTCCTGAAGACATAACTAAGAGAATGGCGATTAAAGAATTAATGGGGAGCACAAGATAAAATGACAATGTAGAAAGATTACCAAAATATGTGAAACTTAAAAAGAAAATAGGAAGGGCTGGGGGCTGGGGATATAGGTCAGTGGTAAATTATGTGCTTAGGATCTGCATGGCCCTGGATTCAATTCCTAATACCAAAAAAAAAAAAAAAAGAAGAAGAAGAAGAAAAGAGGAAATTTAAAGCATGAGGATTTGAAGAAACGCTTTAAACCTTAAGAGCAAGAACAGTTTAGGGGAATAACTTGGGCCACGTGCACAAAAAAAGAGGAACTTAATTCATAAAAGTTCTGTGAGTGAGAAAAGAAGAAAGAAACCTGTGAGTTATTATAGTGTCTATTATGCACCAAATGTGAAGAACTAAGCTCAAAAACAGGATAAATGGCCTTCCCCATATCACACAACTTCTAAGAGTCTAAAGTAGGATTTGATCCTGGGTCTTTCAGACTTGAAAAAGCTATCTTCTTGCCACTACATCACTCAAGAAAGAGAATAGCAGCCACAAAAACAGTATAATAAAGGGGTTAAGCCAGAGTCCACCTCCCAGTTCTCTGACCTATTGTTTAACTGTTAATCAACATCTATGTACCACAGCTACTTACTTCCCTGTAAAATAATACCCATATCAAACAAGTATGTAAAAAACACTTTAAGCTGGGCACAATGGTATGCACCTATAGTCACAGCCATTCAGGAGGCTGATGTGGGAGGATCATCAGAACCCAGCAGTTTGAGTCCAGGCTGGGCAACATAGTGAGACTCTACTCCATCTCAAAATAAATAAATAAATATATAAATAAATAATATATATATATGCATACACAAAACACTTTAAATAAATATATGCGCACACAATATATATATGCACACACAAAACATACTAAAGTGAATGAGATGTAGTAAATGCTTCCCAAGTGCCAGCTGTTATTACTGTAACTATTATTATTATTATTATTATTAGGTATAAGTAGGGGAAAGCCAGAAAGGACGGATTCCATTTATCAGGGATTTCTAGCAGTAATTCTTACTTCTAACATACATACAAACCATCTAGGGATTAAAATGCAGGTTTAAAATGCAGATTCTGGCTGTAAAATAGTATGTTCTTGGCTTGCTAAAGACCCTAGATTTGATTTTCAGCAGGGAACCCGGGGTGGGAGGAGAAAGAAGGAAGAGGTGAAAGAGAGAAAATGCAGGAGGTTCAGTGGCTGGAGTGTGCAGCTGTGATTATTCCTTTCTTACTGGCTCCAGCTGATTCTAATTGCCACTGGTTTCAGACCATATTTTTTATTCTAATTTGTTGTATATGGCAGCAGAATGCATTGCAATTCATATTACACATATAGAACACAGTTTTTCATATCTCTGGTTATACACAAAGTATAGTCACACCATTCTATGTACTTAGGGTAATGATCAGACCACATTTGAGTAGCAACAACTTAGAAAGCTAAAAGGAGACTCTTTGGCCCTGGACTAGAAGTTTAAAATAAGGAAGTGAGAGCAGAGCAGGAATGAGGAAAGTCTATTAAGGCCTGTGACAAACCAGATTTAGTAACATATGACCTAGCATTTAGCCATGCTGAAGGTTAGTATGGATGAATTTTCCCCCTATAAAAGAGTTGATAGTCTAAACAAATTTCTGAGCGCTTAAAAAATAAAAACAGGCTGGGGATGTTGCTCAAGCTGTAGCGCGCGCGCGCGGCTCTGGGTTCGATCCTCAGCACCACATAAAATAAAGGTGTTGTGTCCACCGAAAACTAAAAAATAAATATTAAAATAAATAAATAAATAAAAACAGTGAGGAAGAGGTAATGTAGACGTGCTAAACCAGGAGAATAATACTTGTAGGAAAAGCTACCTCTTTCCTAATATTAATAGTCCCACAATGAAACCAGCTGGAGAACCTTCTTTGGGTCACTGTTCTAACCCTTGATTTGAGATGCAGATTTCAGCTCTGGCCTCTCATACTGCCATCTAGAGTCCAAACAAAAAGGTGTTTTTTTAAAAACCTACGATATGTACGAAGAACCTTTAACACTCTGGATTCTTCCCGTTCTTATCAACTGATAGTTAATTATTTAACTATTTAAACTATTTAATTACCATTAGTTGATTGTCACAAATACCTAATACTTATTAATTACTTAATACTATAAGAGTTCATTGTTATTAATTAATATTGATTTTTAAAATTTTTTTTAGTTGTGATTGGACACAATACCTTCATTTTATTTATTTATTTTTATGTGGTGCTGAGGAT